GGGATTTGGGAATTCTGAGGGATCGGGACAGGGCAGATCCAGGGGATTTGGGAATTCCAGAGGGATTGGGACAGGGCAGATCCAGGGGATTTGTAAATTCTGAGGGATCGGGACAGGGCAGATCCACGGGATTTGGGAATTCTGAGGGATCGGGATAGGGCAGGTCTAGGGGATTTGGGAATTCTGAGGGATCGGGACAGGGCAGATCCAGATTATTTGGGAATTCTGAGGGATCGGGACAGGGCAGATCCAGCTTATTTGGGAATTCTGAGGGATCGGGACAGGGCAGATCCAGCTTATTTGGGAATTCTGAGGGATCGGGACAGGGCAGATCCAGCTTATTTGGGAATTCTGAGGGATCGGGACAGGGCAGATCCAGCTTATTTGGGAATTCTGAGGGATCGGGACAGGGCAGATCCAGCTTATTTGGGAATTCTGAGGGATCGGGACAGGGCAGATCCAGGGGATTTGGGAATTCCAGAGGGATCAGGACAGGTTGGATCTGTGGGATTTCGGATCTCCAGAGGGATCAGGACAGGTTGGATCTGTGGGATTTGGGATCTCCACAAGGATTTGGATTGAGACAGGTCTGATCCATGGGATTTGGGATCTCCAGAGGGATCGGGACAGGTCAGATCTATGGGATTGGGAACAGGGCAGATCCACGGGATTTGGGAATTCTGAGGGATCGGGACAGGGCAGATCCACGGGATTTGGGAATTCTGAGGGATCGGGACAGGGCAGATCCACGGGATTTGGGAATTCCGGATGGATCAGGACAGGTCAGGTCCATGGGATGAGCTCAGGTCGGATCCGTGGGATTTGGGATCTTCGGAGGGATCGGGACAGGTTGGATCCATGGAATCGGGACAGGTGGGATCCATGGGATTTGGGAATTCCAGAGGGATTGGGATGGGTCAGATCTGTGGGATTTGGGACAGCTCGGATCCAAGGGATCAGGACAGGATGCCTCTGTGGGATTTGGGATCTCCAGAGGGATCAGGAGGGGTCAGATCCGTGGGACTGGGACAACTCCCAATCCATGGGATGAGCTCAGGTTGGATCCACGGGATTTGGGAATTCTGAGGGATCTGGACAGCTTGGATCTGTGGGATCAGGACAGCTCAGATCCCTGGGATTTGGGATCTCCAGAGGGATCGGGACAGCTCGGATCCACGGGATGAGCTCAGCAATGTGACCTTTCCAAGGCCGAATCCCGGACTTTTGACCCCATGGAATCACCAGGGATCCAGGAATCCCATGGAATTCTCCAAGATGGAAAACCGGGATTTGTGTCCCCAGAACCCCATGGAATTATCCAGGATGGAAAACCAGGATTTGTGTCCCCACAACCCCATGGAATTCTCCAGGATGGAAAACCGGGATTTGTGTCCCCACAATCCCATGGAATTCTCCAGGATGGAAAACCAGGATTTGTGTCCCCACAACCCCATGGAATTCTCCAGGATGGAAAACCGGGATTTGTGTCCCCACAACCCCATGGAATTCTCCAGGATGGAAAACCAGGAAAGGCCCCAGAGCTGGAGGAGCCCGGAGAAAATTGGGAATTTTCTTGTCTGGAATTCCCTGCCAGGAGCGGGGTCGGGGTTTTCCCACGGGATGAGCGGGAACGGCCCCAAATTTGGGGCGGATTTTGGGAATTCCTGCCCGGAACGGGAATGGAGCAGCCCGGAGTTCCTTCCTGACCCCGATCACTGCGGGATTCCCGGTGAGGATTGGGTGGATTTGGGGTTTTTTTGGGAAAAGGGAGGGATGGACGGACGGAGGGAGCGGCGGGCGGACACCGGAATTCCCGAGGGAAAAGGGGGAAAAAGGGGGAAAGAAAGGGGGAAATGGGGGGGAAAGGAGAGGAAAAATGGGGAAAACAGGAGGAGAAAAGGAGGGGAAAGGAGGAAAAGGAAGAAAAAAGGAGAAGGAAAGGAGGGGGGAAAAGGGGAAAGGAGAGGAAAAGGAGGAAAAAAGGAGGGGAAAGGGAAAACAGAGAAAGGAAAAAAAGGAGGAAAAAGGGGAAAAATGAGGAAAGGAGGGAAAAAGAGGGGAAAAAGGAGGGGAAAATGGGGAAATGAGGAGGGAAAAGGGGGGGAAGGAGAGAGGAAAAAGGAACAAAAAAGGAGAGAATTATAAGGAAAAATGAGGAAAGGAGGGAAAAAGAGGGGGAAAAAGGAAGGGAAAATGGGGAAATGAGGGAAAAGGGGGGGAAGGAGAGAGGAAAAAGGAACAAAAAAGGAGAGAATTATAAGGAAAAATGAGGAAACAAGGAGGAAAAAGGAACAAAATGTGGGGAAAGGGAGGGAAAAGGAGAGAGAAAAGGAGGAAAGGAGGAGGAAAAAGGGAAAAAAGGAGGAAATTATAAGGAAAAATGAAGAAGAGAAGAGAGAAAAGGAGGAAAGGAGGAGGAAAATGGAAAAAAGGAGGAAATTATAAGGAAAAATGAAGAAGAGAAGAGAGAAAAGGAGGAAAGGAGGAGGAAAATGGAAAAAAGGAGGAAATTATAAGGAAAAATGAAGAAGAGAGAAAAGGAGGAATGGAGGAGAAAAATGGGGAAAAAGGAGGAAAAAAGGAGGAAATTGTAAGAAAAATGAGGAAACAAGGAGAAAAATGGGGGGAAATTAAGAAAAAAGGAGGAAACAAGGAGAAAAATGGGGGAAAAAGGAGGAGAACAAGGAAAATAGGAGGAAAAAAAGGATCAAAATGCGGGGAAGTGAGGAGGGAAAAGGAGGGGAAAGGGAGGGGGAAAAGGAGGAGGAAAATGGGGAAAAAGAAGGAAAAAAGGAGGAAATTATAACTGAAAAGGAGGGAAAAGGAGGGAAAAAGGAGGAAAAAAGGAGGGAAATGAGAGAGAAAAGGAGGAAAAGGGGAGGAAAATGGTAAAAAAAGGAAGAAAAAAGGAGGAAATGAGCAGGAAAATGGGTAAAAAGGAGGAAAAAAGGAGGAAATCATAAGAAAAATGAGGAAACAACGAGAAAAATGGGGAAAAAAGGAGGGAATGAGGAGGAGAACAAGGAAAAAAGGAAAAAATCAGGAGGGAAAAGGGAGGGGGAAGAGAGAGGAAAAAGGAGGAAAAAATAGGAAAAAAAGGAGGGGAAAAAAAGAGGGGAAAAAGGAAATTGGGGGGAGAGAGGAAAAAATGAGGGGGGAAAAAGAGGGGAAAAAGGAAATTAGGAGGGGAAAGGGAGGGGAAAAGGAGGAAAACAAGGAAAAAAGGAGGAAATGAGGAGGAAAAAAGGAGGAAATTAGGGAAAAAAGGAGGAAATTAGGGAAAATGAGGGGGAAAGGGAGGGGGAAAAAGGAGGAAATGAGGAGGGAAAAAGGAGGAAATTAGGGAAAAAAGGAGGAAATTAGGGAAAAGGAGGGGGAAAGGGAGGGGGAAAAAGGAGGAAATGAGGAGGGAAAAAAGGAGGAAATGAGGAGGAAATAAAGAGGAGAAAGGGGGAAAAAGGATGAAAAATGGAGGAAAATAGGGAAAAAAGGAGAAGAAAAGGAAAAAGGACAAAAAAAAGGAAGCAAAGGCACCAAAGCTCCTCCAGGACGAGGAGCAGCAGCAACGTCCCCACCCCCAAACCCCCCTGGAGCCAATCCCAGAGCCAGAAAATTCCTTTTATTTCCTTAAAATAAAAATCCAATCCATCATTCCCTCTGGCTGCTGTAAAAAAAGGACTTTTAAAACCTTTATTTTTCTTTTTTTTTAACAATAAAAATAGTATTTGGAAGACTGAGAAGCTGGGAAAGGGAGGGAGGATTCCTCAGGGATGAGCGGGGGAAATTCCAAATATTTCTCGAGTTGTAGCCAAGAAGCTGCTGGGATTGATGGGAAAGGTGGAGATTTTGGGTTTGAGGTGGGAAAAATTCAAGATATTCACAGAAGGAAAGGAGAATTTTAATAAATGAGCCCACCCAGGAAGAGAAAAAGGAGGAAAAAGGAGGGAGGAAAAAAAAAAAGGAGGAAAATAAAGGAGAAAAAGGAGGAGAAAAAGAGGAAGAGGAGGGGAAAAATGAGGAAAAGGAGGAGGAATAAAAAGGAGAGGAAGAGGAGAAAAAAAATGAGAGCAGGAGGAAAAAGGAAGAAGGAAAAAGGAGAGGGGAAAAGGGGGAAAAGAAAGAAAAAAGGAGGAAAAAAGGAAGAAAAAAGGAGGAGAAAAGTAAGAGAAAAAATGAGGACAAATGGAAGAAAAAAGGAGAAAAAATGAGGGAAAAAAAGAAGAGAAAAAGAAGAGAAAAAAGGAGAAAAGGAGGGGAAAAATGAGAGGAAAGGAGGGAAAAGGAGAAAAAATTAGGAGAAAAAGAGGAAAAAAGGGAGGAAAAAAGGAAGGAAAAAAAAGGAAGAAAAAAGGAGGAGGGAAAAAGGAGAGAAAAATGAGGAAAAAGGAGGAAAATAAAGGAGAAAAAGGAGGAGAAAAAGAGGAAGAGGAGGGGAAAAATGAGGAAAAGGAGGAGGAATAAAAAGGAGAGGAAGAGGAGAAAAAAAATGAGAGCAGGAGGAAAAAGGAAGAGGAAAAAGGAGAGGGAAAAAGGGGGGAAAGAAAAAAGGAGGAAAAAAGGAAGAAAAAAGGAGGAGAAAAGGAAGAGAAAAAATTAGGAGAAAAAGAGGAAAAAAGGGAGGAAAAAGGAGGGAAAAGGAGAAAAAAAATGAGAGCAGGAGGAAAAAGGAAGAAGGAAAAAGGAGAGGGGAAAAGGGGGAAAAGAAAGAAAAAAGGAGGAAAAAAGGAAGAAAAAAGGAGGAGAAAAGGAAGAGAAAAAATGAAGACAAAGGGAAGAAAAAAGGGGGAAAATGAGGAAAAAGAAAGAGGGAAAAAAGAAGAGAAAAAGAAGAGAAAAAAGGAGAAAAGGAGGGGGAAAATGAGAGAAAAGGAGGGAAAAGGAGAAAAAATTAGGAGAAAAAGAGGAAAAAAGGGAGGAAAAAGGAGGGAAAAGGGAGAGGAAAAAGGAGGGGGAAAAGAAAGAAAAAAGGAGGAAAAAGGAAGAAAAAAGGAGGAGAAAAGGAAGAGAAAAAATGAGGACAAAGGGAAGAAAAAAGGAGGAAAAAGGAGGGAAAAGGAGAAAAAAGAAAAAGGAGGAAAAAAGAAGGAAAAAAGGAGGAGAAAAAAAGGAGGAAAAGGAGAAAAATGGCCCAAAAAACTCTCATGATTTTTTAAAATTCGAATTTTTGTCCCCAAAAACGGTCCTAAAATCTCTCTTGGGTTTCAAAATCCCAATTTTCTTCATCCTTGTCCCATTTTTGGGGCATTTTCCAGCAAATCTGGGAAATTCGGGAAAATTTTGGGTCCTCAAAGCACTCAGGACAAAATTTCCTCTTTTGCTGATGCCACGGGGAATTGATCAGGTTGAAAAGTGGGAAAAATGGGAATTTTTAAATTAAAATTCCCAAATTTCCCAGGGAATTCCTAGATTTCTGAGAGATTTCCTGAGGGAATTCCCAGATTTCTGAAGGAATCTGGGTGGGAAAAGGGAAATAATGGGATGGAATTCAGTGTCTGCTTGCAGCAATGAGGAAATTCCTAAATTCCCGAGGAAATTCCTAAATTCCCGAGGAAATTCCCAAATTTCTGAGGAAATTCCCGAATTTCTGAGGGATTTCCTGAGGGAATTCCCAAATTCCTGAGGGAATTCAGGTGGGAAAAGGAGAATATGGAGGTGAAATTCAGTCTCTGCTCACAGCAATGAGGAAATTCCCAGATTCCTGAGGAAATTCCCAGATTTCTGAGGGAATTCCCAGATTTCTGAGGGAATTCCAGGTGGGAAAATGGGAATAAGGAGGCAAAATCTCATTGCTCACAGCAATGAGAAAATTCCCTGATTCCTGAGGGAATTTCGGTGGGAAAAGGGTTATGAATAAGCGGGGCGGAATTCAGTCCCTGTTTTCAGGAATGAGGAAATTCCTGAGGAAATTCCCACATTTCTGAGGGAATTCCCAGATTTCTGAGGGAATTCCAGGTAGAAAAGGGAAGGAGAGAGGCAAAATTCAGTCCCCGCTTGCAGCAATGAGGAAATTCCCAGATTTCTGAGGGAATTCCCAGATTTCTGAGGGAATTTCGGTGGGAAAAGGAGAATAATGGGGCGGAATTCAGTCCCTGCTTGCAGCAATGAGGAAATTCCTGAGGAAATTCCCAAATTTCTGAGGGATTTCCCAGATTTCTGAGGGAGTTCCCAGATTTCTGAGGGAATTCTCAGATTTCTGAGGGAATTCCCAGATTTCTGAGGGAATTTCGGTGGGAAAAGGAGAATAATGGGGCGGAATTCAGTCCCTGCTTGCAGCAATGAGGAAATTCCTGAGGAAATTCCCACATTTATGAGGGAATTCCCAGACTTCTGAGGGAATTCCAGGTGGGAAAAGGGGAATAGGGGGGTGGAATTCAGTCCCTGCTTGCAGCAATGAGAAAATTCCTGAGGAAATTCCCAAATTTCTGAGGGAATTCCCAGATTTCTGAGGGAATTCCAGGTGGAAAAGGGAAGGAGAGAGGCGAAATTCAGTCCCCGCTTGCAGCAATGAGGGAATTCTCAAATTTCTGAGGGAATTCCCAGATTTCTGAGGGAATTTCGGTGGGAAAAGGGGAACAATGGGGCGGAATTCAGTCCCTGCTTGCAGCAATGAGGAAATTCCTGAGGACATTCCCAAATTTATGAGGGAATTCCCAGATTTCTGAGGGAATTTGGGCGGGAAAAGAGGAATACGGCAGCGAAATTCAGTCTCCACTCGCAGCAACGAAGGACTCCCGGATTTCTGAGGGAATTCCCAAATTCCTGAGGGAATTCCCAGACTCCTGAGGGAATTCCCAGATTCCTGAGGGAATGCCAGGTGGGCACGGGGGAACGGGGCAGTGAAATTCAGTCCAGGAAGCGCTGGCAGGCCTTTTTCCAGCGGCACGCCGTGCACCACTGCTCCCGGTGCTCGATGCCGTAAACCTTGCGGCATTTCTTGGCTTCGCCGCGGGTTTTTCTGGGAAAAGGGGGAATTACTGGGTTTTCCCGCTGCTGGGCTGAGGGGTTTTGGGGGGTTTTGGGGTTTTTTGGGGGTCTTACCTGGTGCTGAGGGAGGCGCGGGGCGGGGAGGCCACGAGGAGCCGGGGCGGCAGCAATGGCGGCGGCTGAGGGGGCTGAGGGTCGCTGAGGCTGAGGGAGCGGCTCCGCGCCTGAGGGGGGAGAAGGGGCAAAAAGGGCAAAAACGGGGAGGAAAGGGGGGAAAAAGGGATGAAAAGGGGGAAAAGGGGGATAAAAATGTCGAGGAGAGGGGTTTTGAGGGCTCTGTGCAAAAGTGTGCTCGGATGGGAAGAGGAAAAAGGAGGCACTGGCTCATGCAGGGCACAGCTGGCAGAGGTGGCACTGACCGGTGACAGGGATGGCAGGGGGAGGTGGCACTCAGGCAGGGGGAGGTGGCACTGACAGGGCGGATGGGAAGGAGGGGGGAAGGGAGGGGAAAAGGGTGGGAAAAAAGGGCGGGAAAAAAAGAGCGGGAAGGGGGGAAAAAGGAGGAAAAAAAGGGAAAAATGAGAGAAAAGGGAAGGGAAATGAAGGGAAAAGGAGAGGAAAAAAGGAAGATAAAAAGGAGGGAAATAGGACTGAGAAAACTGGGAAAAAATGGGGGAAGGGATGGGGAAAAGGAGGGAAAAGGAGGGAAAAAGGAAGGGAAACGGAAAATGAGGGGAAAGGGGGGAAAAGGAGGAAAAAAGGAGAAAAAGGGATAAAAACGAGGGGAAAGAAGGGGAAAAGGAGGAGAAAAAGGGATAAAAAGGTCGAGGAGAGGGGTTTTGAGGGCTCTGTGCAAAAGTGTGCTTGGATGGGAAAGGGGGGAATGGGGGAAAAGGGTGGGAAAAAAAGGTGGGAAAAAAGAGCAGGAAGGGGGAGGAAAAAGGAGGAAAAAAGGGAAAAAATGAGGGAAAAGGGAAGAGAAAAGGAAGGGAAAAGAACAGGAAAAAAGGAGGGAAATAGGACTGAAAAATGAGGAAAAATGGGGGAAGGGATGGGAAAAAGGAGGGAAAAGCAGGAAAAAAGGAGGGGAAGAAAGAGGGGGAAAGGAGGGAAATTGAGGGGAAAAGGAGAAAAAGGAGAGGAAAAGGAGGGAAAAGGAGGGGACAGGATGGAAAAGGAGGGAAAAGGAGGGAAAAAGGAAGGGAAACGGAAAATGAGGGGAAAGGGGGGAAAAGGAGGAAAAAAGGAGAAAAAGGGATAAAAACGAGGGGAAAGAAGGGGAAAAGGAGGAGAAAAAGGGATAAAAAGGTCGAGGAGAGGGGTTTTGAGGGCTCTGTGCAAAAGTGTGCTTGGATAGGAAAGGGGGGAAGGGGGGAAAAGGGTGGGAAAAAAAGGTGGGAAAAAAAGGTGGGAAAAAAGAGCAGGAAGGGGGAGGAAAAAGGAGGAAAAAAGGGAAAAAATGAGGGAAAAGGGAAGAGAAAAGGAAGGGAAAAGAACAGGAAAAAAGGAGGGAAATAGGACTGAAAAATGAGGAAAAATGGGGGAAGGGATGGGAAAAAGGAGGGAAAAGCAGGAAAAAAGGAGGGGAAGAAAGAGGGGGAAAGGAGGGAAATTGAGGGGAAAAGGAGAAAAAGGAGAGGAAAAGGAGGGAAAAGGAGGGGACAGGATGGAAAAGGAGGGAAAAGGAGGGAAAAAGAGGAAAAAGGAGGGGGAGGTGGCAGCGGCCCAGCTGATGCTGGTGAAGATGTGGGGGGACACCGGGATCTGGATGGAGGGCAGAGCCTGGGGGGACACGGGGACAGGGTCAGCTCTGGGAATGCCCCACTCCGTGGGAATGGCCCACTCCATGGGAATCCCCCATTCCCTAAAAACCTCCCATTCCATGGAATCCCCCATGGAATCCCCCATTCCCAGGAATCCCCCATGGAATCCCCCATTCCCAGCAATCCCCCATGGAATCCCCCATTCCCGGACCCCCGTGCTGTGCCCCGCTCCCGCTGTCCCCCCCATGGGGACACGGCTGTGTCGTGTCCCCCCCTCAACACCCCAAATCCCGCCCGGAATCCTGCCCCTCCCCCCACTCAGGGATGTGTCCCGCTGGTGGCACTGCCACCCCTGGGAATGACATCCCTGAGAGTGACATCCCTGAGAGTGACACCCAGGAAAAAAGGAGGGGAAGAAAGAGGGGGAAAGGAGGGAAATTGAGGGGAAAAGGAGAAAAAGGAGAGGAAAAGGAGGGAAAAGGAGGGGACAGGATGGAAAAGGAGGGAAAAGGAGGGAAAAAGAGGAAAAAGGAGGCACTGGCTCATGCAGGGCACAGCTGGCAGAGGTGGCACTGACCGGTGACAGGGATGGCAGGGGGAGGTGGCACTCAGGCGTGACACCCCTTGCAGGTGACACCCCTTGGCAGGTGATATCTCTTGGGGACAAGGACATGGGGTGCCCATGGGGTGGGGGGGCACAGCTGGGAGCCACACCCGGGCAAGGGACACCAGGGGACACCAGGGGACAGGGACACAAATCCTTGAGCTGGGGACAGGACAGGGACACAAACCCCTGAGTTGGGGACAGGGACACAAATCCTGGAATGTTCCCATCTCCATCCCCAGCCATGTCCCCATGGATGTCCCCAGCTGTGTCCCAGCTCTGTCCCCATGGATGTCCCCAGCTCTGTCCCCAATGTCCCCAGGATGTCCCCAGCCATGTCCCAGCTCTATCCCCAGCTCTGTTCCCAACCATGTCCCTGCGATGTCCCCATGATGTCCTCAGCTCTGTCCCCAGCCATGCTGCCATGGATGTCCCCAGCTCTGTCCCCAGTGTCCCCAGGGATGTCCCCAGCCATGTCCCAGCTCCACCCCTAGCTCTATCCCCAGCCGTGTCCCTGCTGTCCCCAGGGATGTCCCCAGGGATGTCCCCAGCCGTGTCCCAGCGGGGATACCATGGATGTCCCCATGGATGTCCCCAATGTCCCAGCTCTGTCCCGAGCCACGTCCCAGCTCTATCCCTGGCTCTGTCCCCAGCCGTGTCCCTGCTGTCCCCATGAATGCCCCCAGCTGTGTCCCAGCTCTGTCCCCAGCCATGTCCCCAGCTCTGTCCCCAGGGCTGTGTCCCAGCTCTGTCCCCAGCCATGTCCCCAGCTCTGTCCCCAGCCATGTCCCTGATGTCCCCATGGATGCCCCCAGCTGTGTCCCAGCTCTGTCCCCAGCGCTGTCCCCAGCCATGTCCCCAGCTCTGTCCTCAGCCATGTCCCTGCTGTCCCCATGGATGCCCCCAGCTGTGTCCCAGCTCTGTCCCCAGGGCTGTCCCCAGCCATGTCCCCAGCTCTGTCCTCAGCCATGTCCCTGCTGTCCCCATGGATGCCCCCAGCTGTGTCCCAGCTCTGTCCCCAGGGCTGTCCCCAGCCATGTCCCCAGCTCTGTCCTCAGCCATGTCCCTGCTGTCCCCATGGATGCCCCCAGCTGTGTCCCAGCTCTGTCCCCAGGGCTGTCCCCAGCCATGTCCCCAGCTCTGTCCTCAGCCATGTCCCTGCTGTCCCCATGGATGCCCCCAGCTGTGTCCCAGCTCTGTCCCCATGGATGTCCCCAGCTCTGTCCCCAATGTCCCCAGGATGTCCCCAGCCATGTCCCAGCTCTATCCCCAGCTCTGTTCCCAACCATGTCCCTGCGATGTCCCCATGATGTCCTCAGCTCTGTCCCCAGCCATGCTGCCCTGTCACCTGGTAGGCGTGGTCGGCCTGGATGTGCCAGAAGGAGCCGGGGGCCGAGTGGCTCAGGCCGGGCTGGCCGGGGCCGGGCTGGACCACGATGGGGACAGAGCAGGACACGGCCCCGCTGGCACCGGGGACAGCGCTGGGGACAGCGGGGACAGCGCTGGGGACAGCGGGGACAGCGGGGACAGCGGGGACAGCGGGCGGTGGCAGCTCCGGGGGCGGCTCCTCGGGCACGCGCAGCTCCGTGAAATAGAAATCCTCCTCACGCTCCGAGCCATCCCTGCCAGACACGGGACACGGGGACATGGGGACAGCAACAGGGGGACATGGGGACACGAGGACATGGGGACAGCAACACGGGGACATGGGGACATGGAGACATGGAGACAGCAACACGGAGACATGGGGACAGCAACACAGGGACATGGGGACATGGAGACAGGGGCATGGGGACATGGGGACAGCAACACAGGGACATGGGGACACGGGGGACAGCAACACGGGGACATGGGGACACGGGACACAGGGACATGGGGACACAGGGACATGGGGGACAGCATACATGGGGACAACAACAGAGGGACACATGGGACAACAGAGGGACATGGGACAGCAACACGGGGACACGGGTGACAGCAACATGGGGGACAACAGAGAGACATGGCAGACAGCAACAGAGGGACACAGATGACAACAGGGGGACACAGGGACACGGGTGACAACAACAGAAGGACACAGGGACACGGGTGACAGCGAAGGGACACGGGTGACAACAGAGGGATACAGGTGACAGCAAAGGGAGGGACACGGGTGACAACAGAGGGATACAGGTGACAGCGAAGGGACACGGGTGACAAGAGAGGGACAACAGCTTTGGTGACATGGAAGTGCCCATTTCCCACGGGATTTCCCACAGGAACGGGCCATTCCGGAGGGATCATTCCCAGGGGTTCGGGCCCGGGAACCCCGGGAATCCCGGGAATCCTGGGAATCCTGGGAATTCCGGGAATCCCGGGAACCCCGCAGTGCCTTACCCCAGGTGCCGGGTGCGCACGTGGCGCTTGATGCCGACGCCGGAGCGCAGCACTTTGCCGCAGCCGGGCCACAGGCACTTGAACAGCAGCCTGGCCGAGCCCTGGGGACACAGAGCGCTGTCACCCCGCGCGGTGGCACCGTCCCCTGCCCGCTGGCACCGTCCCCTGCCCGCTGTCACCATCCCCTGCCCGCACAGGGACGCTGCCACCCACCTTCCTGCGGCGCGGCGCGGGCTCCTCCGGCGCCGGGGGCTCGGGGTCGGTGTCGAAGCCGTCATCGCTCAGAGGGGACAAGGTGACACTGCCGGCACGGCAGGGAGGGGACGCGGTGGCACTGCCAGGGTAATGAGGAGGGGACGCAGTGGCACTGCCGGGACAGTGCGGAGGGGACGCGGTGGCACTGCCAGGGTAATGAGGAGGGGACGCGGTGGCACTGCCAGGGTAATGAGGAGGGGACGCGGTGGCACTGCCAGGATAATGAGGAGGGGACGCGGTGGCACTGCCGGGACAGTGCGGAGGGGACGCGGTGGCACTGCCAGCGCTGCTCCAGTGGCCGCTGGTGGTGCTGCTGCCGCTGTCCGAAATGTCCCCGCTGTCCTTCCAGGGGTCACCGGCCGCCTGCGAGGCTGAGAGAGGGGACACGGTGCCACTGTCACCGAGGGGATACAGTGCCACTGTCACCAAGGGGACACGGTGGCGCTGTCACCGAGGGGACACGGTGCCACTGTCACCGAGGGGACACAGTGCCACTGTCACCTTGGGGACACGGTGCCACTGTCACCGAGGGGACACAGTGCCACTGTCACCTTGGGGACAACGCCCTTCCCCTGAAGCCCAGCTCTGCCGGGAGGTCGGGGGTTCAATCCTGGGAAATTCCCAGAGTTTTATCCCAAACTTTGATGCCTCTCCCTGTTTGTCCCAATTTCCCTTGGTGCCACCCCGGACTGTCCCCTTTGTGTCACCCCCAGGACTGTCCCCTTGGTGCCATCCCGGACTGTCCCCTTGGTGCCACCCCTGGATTGTCCCCTTGGTGCCACCCTGGGACTGTCCCCTTTGTGTCACCCTGGACTGTCCCCTTTGTGTCACCCTGGATTGTCCCCTTTGTGTCACCCCCGACTGTCCCCTTGGTGCCACCCCCAGACTGTCCCCTTGGTGCCACCCGGGACTGTCCCCTTGGTGCCACCCCGGATTGTCCCCTTGGTGTCACCCTGGGATTGTCCCTTGGTGCCACCCCAGGACTGTCCCCTTGGTGCCACCCCGGCCTGTCCCCTTTGTGTCACCCCAGACTGTCCCCTTGGTGCCACCCGGGACTGTCCCCTTGGTGCCACCCGGGACTGTCCCCTTGGTGCCACCCGGGACTGTCCCCTTGGTGCCACCCGGGACTGTCCCCTTGGTGCCACCCTGGGATTGTCCCCTTGGTGCCACCCCTGATTGTCCCCTTGGTGCCACCTTGGATTGTCCCCTTGGTGCCACCCCGGGTGACCGCGGGCCTTTCCCGCCGCTCCGGGTTATTTTTGTCCCTCCCGGGAGCCGCTGACTCCTCGGGAATGAAGCGGCTCCCAAAAAAAGCCGTGACCGGGAATTGTCCCCTGGCAGGGGGTGGCACCGAGGGGACGCCCGGAGCCCCGCCAGGGCGCAGAGGGAATTCCCCTCCCTGGAATTCCCTGGGATCAGGGAGCGGCCAGGCGGGATCGGGACTTCTCCCACATGGTTCCAGGTTGGAATTTGGGAACAATTTCTGCCCCATTCCTGAGGAATTCCAAATTCCCGTGCAAGTGGCACTTGGGGACAAGGACATGGAATTCCCTGGCAGGAGGAACTGGGATTTCTCCCAGGGAAGAGCCAGAAGTTCTCCCAGGAGAAGTTCAGGTTGGATTTTGGGAACAATTCCTTCATGGAATGGGTTTTCCAGGGAGGTTTGGAATCCCCATTCCCAGAGGAATTCCAGATCCCCACGGGTGGCACTTGGGGACATGGATCTGGAATTCTGTGGCAAGTTGGACTGGGATTTTTCCCATGAAATGGACTTCAATTCTTCCTGGAGAAGTTCAGGTTGGATTTTGGGAACAATTCCTGCCCAGGGAGCTTTGGAATTGCCATTCCCAGAAGAATTCCAAATCCCTGTGGAAGTCCCACTTGGGGACACGGATCTGGAATTCCCTGGCAGGTGGGATCGGGATTTTTCCCAGGAAATGAACTTAAATTCTCCCAGGAGAAGTTCAGGTTGGATTTTGGGAATTCCTTCATGGAATGGCTTTTCCAGGGAGCTTTGGAATCCCCATTCCCAGAGGAATTCCAAATCCCTGTGCAAGCGGCACTTGGGGATGGGGATCTGGAATTCCCTGGCAGGCAAGAACACGATTTCTTCCAGATTTTTTCAGGGAAGTTCAGGTTGGACTTTGGGAACAATTTCTGCCCCATTCCCAGCGGAATTCCAGATCCCATGGAAGTGGCACTTGGGGACACGGATCTGGAATTCCCTGGCAGGCAAGAACACGATTTTTTCCAGATTTTTCCAGGGAAGTTCAGGTTGGATTTTGGGAACAATTTCTTCCCCATTCCCAGAGGAATTCCAAATCCCCACGGAAGTCCCACCTGGGGACACGGATCTGGAATTCCCTGGCAGACAGGATCAGGATTTCTCCCAGATTTTTCCAGGGAAGTTCACGTTGGACTTTGGGAACAATTCCTTCCCCGTTCCCAGGGAATTCCCCTCTCCTTCCCCGCCCCCATCCATCCCCAGCTCCCGCCGCTGCTCCAGCCCTCCCGGGATTTGGGGGGGTTTTTTCGGGATGCACTCACGGGGGCTGCGCAGGGCGGGGCTGCAGGACAGGCTGGTCAGCACCAGCGCCGCCACCATCTCGTCCATCTCCACCGCCGCCGGCCGCCTGCGCCCGGCACCGACCGACCGACGGACCGACCGACGGACGGACACGCGCACGCGGCGGGAGAGGAACGGCCGGAAAGGAAGGGACGGCGGGAAAGAAAGAAACGGCGGGAAAAATGTCAGAACCATGACAGGAAAATGTGGGGAAAACGTTGGGTAAAAGGTCGGGAAGTGTCGGGAAAACGTTGGGGAAAAGGTCGGGAAATGTCGGGAAAACGTTGGGGAAAAGGCCGGGAAATGTCGGGAAAAACGTGGGGAAAATGGCCCCCCTGGGATTGTCCCCTTGGTGCCCCCCTGGATTGTCCCCTTGTGCCCCCCCTGGACTGTCCCCTTGGTGCCACCCTGGATTGTCCCCTTGTGCCACCCCTGATCGTCCCCTTGGTGCCACCCCGGATTGTCCCCTTGGTGCCACCCCTGATTGTCCCCTTGGTGCCACCTTGGATTGTCCCCTTGGTGCCACCCCGGGTGACCGCGGGCCTTTCCCGCCGCTCCGGGTTATTTTTGTCCCTCCCGGGAGCCGCTGACTCCTCGGGAATGAAGCGGCTCCCAAAAAAAGCCGTGACCGGGAATTGTCCCCTGGCAGGGGGTGGCACCGAGGGGACGCCCGGAGCCCCGCCAGGGCGCAGAGGGAATTCCCCTCCCTGGAATTCCCTGGGATCAGGGAGCGGCCAGGCGGGATCGGGACTTCTCCCACATGGTTCCAGGTTGGAATTTGGGAACAATTTCTGCCCCATTCCTGAGGAATTCCAAATTCCCGTGCAAGTGGCACTTGGGGACAAGGACATGGAATTCCCTGGCAGGAGGAACTGGGATTTCTCCCAGGGAAGAGCCAGAAGTTCTCCCAGGAGAAGTTCAGGTTGGATTTTGGGAACAATTCCTTCATGGAATGGGTTTTCCAGGGAGGTTTGGAATCCCCATTCCCAGAGGAATTCCAGATCCCCACGGGTGGCACTTGGGGACATGGATCTGGAATTCTGTGGCAAGTTGGACTGGGATTTTTCCCATGAAATGGACTTCAATTCTTCCTGGAGAAGTTCAGGTTGGATTTTGGGAATTCCTTCATGGAATGGGTTTTCCAGGGAGGTTTGGAATCCCCATTCCCAGAGGAATTCCAACTCCCCATGGAAGTGGCACTTGGGGACACGGATCTGGAATTCCCTGGCAGGTTGGACTGGGATTTTTCCCAGGAAATGCACTTAAATTCTCCCAGGAGAAGTTCAGGTTGGATTTTGGGAACAATTTCTTCCCCATTCCCAGAGGAATTCCAACTCCCCATGGAAGTGGCACTTGGGGACACGGATCTGGAATTGCCCGGCAGGAGGAATTGGGATTTCTCCCCAAATTGTTCCAGGTTGGAATTTGGGAACAATTTCTTCCCCATTCCCAGAGGAATTCCAACTCCCCACGGAAGTCCGACGTGGGGGCACGGATCTGGAATTCCCTGGCAGGTAAGATCAGGATTTCTCCCAGATTTTTCCAGGGAAGGTCACCTTGGATTGGGAACAATTTCTGCGCCATTCCTGAGGAATTCCAAATCCCTGTGGAAGTGGCACTTGGGGACACGGATCTGGAATTCCCTGGCAGGCGGGATCGGGATTTTTCCCAGAAAATGAACTTAAATTCTCCCAGGAGAAGTTCAGGTTGGATTTTAGGAATTCCTTCATGGAATGGCTTTTCCAGGGAGCTTTGGAATCCCCATTCCCAGAGGAATTCCAAATCCCTGTGCAAGCGGCACTTGGGGACACGGATCTGGAATTCCCTGGCAGGCAAGAACACGATTTCTTCCAGATTTTTTCAGGGAAGTTCAGGTTGGACTTTGGGAACAATTTCTTCCCCATTCCTGAGGAATTCCAGATCCCCATGGAAGTGGCACTTGGGGACACGGATCTGGAATTCCCTGGCAGGCAAGAACACGATTTTTCCAAATCCCTGTGGAAGTCCCACTTGGGGACACGGATCTGGAATTCCCTGGCAGGTGGGATCGGGATTTTTCCCAGAAAATGAACTTAAATTCTTCCAGGAGAAGTTCAGGTTGGATTTTGGGAATTCCTTCATGGAATGGCTTTTCCAGGGAGCTTTGGAATCCCCATTCCCAGAGGAATTCCAGATCCCTGTGCAAGCAGCACTTGGGGACACGGATCTGGAACTCCCTGGCAGGCAAGAACACGATTTTTTCCAGATTTTTCCAGGGAAGTTCAGGTTGGATTTTGGGAACAATTTCTTCCCCATTCCCAGAGGAATTCCAAATCCCTGTGCAAGCGGCACTTGGGGATGGGGATCTGGAATTCCCTGGCAGGCAAGAACACGATTTCTTCCAGATTTTTTCAGGGAAGTTCAGGTTGGACTTTGGGAACAATTTCTTCCCCATTCCTGCGGAATTCCAGATCCCATGGAAGTGGCACTTGGGGACACGGATCTGGAATTCCCTGGCAGGCAAGAACACGATTTTTTCCAGATTTTTCCAGGGAAGTTCAGGTTGGATTTTGGGAACAATTTCTTCCCCATTCCCAGAGGAATTCCAAATCCCCACGGAAGTCCCACCTGGGGACACGGATCTGGAATTCCCTGGCAAACAGGATCAGGATTTCTCCCAGATTTTTCCAGGGAAGTTCAGGTTGGACTTTGGGAACAATTTCTTCCCCATTCCCAGAGGAATTCCAACTCCCGTGCAAGTGGCACTTGGGGACACGGATCTGGAATTCCCTGGCAAGTGGGATCAGGATTTCTCCCAGATTTTTCCAGGGAAGGTTCAAGCTGGATGTTGGCAACAATTTCTTCCCTATTCCCAGAGGAATTCCAAATCCCCACGGAAGTCCCACCTGGGGACACGGATCTGGAATTCCCTGGCAGACAGGATCAGGATTTCTCCCAGATTTTTCCAGGGAAGTTCACGTTGGACTTTGGGAACAATTCCTTCCCCGTTCCCAGGGAATTCCCCTCTCCTTCCCCGCCCCCATCCATCCCCAGCTCCCGCCGCTGCTCCAGCCCTCCCGGGATTTGGGGGGGTTTTTTCGGGATGCACTCACGGGGGCTGCGCAGGGCGGGGCTGCAGGACAGGCTGGTCAGCACCAGCGCCGCCACCATCTCGTCCATCTCCACCGCCGCCGGCCGCCTGCGCCCGGCACCGACCGACCGACGGACCGACCGACGGACGGACACGCGCACGCGGCGGGAGAGGAACGGCCGGAAAGGAAGGGACGGCGGGAAAGAAAGAAACGGCGGGAAAAATGTCAGAACCATGACAGGAAAATGTGGGGAAAACGTTGGGTAAAAGGTCGGGAAGTGTCGGGAAAACGTTGGGGAAAAGGTCGGGAAATGTCGGGAAAACGTTGGGGAAAAGGCCGGGAAATGTCGGGAAAAACGTGGGGAAAATGCCAGGAAAACATCAGGGAAACGTCGGGAAAGCGTCGGGAAAACCATCAGGGAAAACGTCGGGAAGAACGTTGGGAAAAGGTCGGGGAAAATGTCAAGAAAGCGTTGGGGAAAAGGTCGGGAAATGTCGGGAAAAAACGTGGGGAAAATGTCGGGGAAACGTCGGGAAAAACATTGGGAAAACCATCAGGAAAAACGTCGGGAAAAGGTTGGGAAAACCATCGGGAAAACCATCAGGAAAAACGTTGAGAAAAGGTTGGGAAAAGGTTGGGGAAAATGTTGGGAAAATGCAGGGAAAATGTCAGGAAAACCGTTGGGAAAAACATTGGGGAAAATGTTGGGGAAACGTTGGGAAAAACGTTGGGGGAACGTCAGGAAAACGTTGGGAAAAATGTTGGGAAAATGTTGGGAAAACGTTGGGAAAATGATCGGGAAAATGATGGGAAAATGTGGGGGAAACATTGGGAAAAGGTCGGGGGAAACGTTGGGAAAATGTGGGGAAAACGTCGGAAAAATGTCAGGAAAAGGTTGGGGAAAATGTCGTGGAAAATATCAGGGAAAACATCGGGAAAACCATCGGGAAAACCATCAGGAAAAATGTCGAGAAAAGGTTGGGGAAAACGTCGGGGAAAATCGTTGGGAAAAGGCCGGGAAATGTCGGGAAAAACGTGGGGAAAATGTCAGGGAAACATCGGGAAAGCGTCGGGAAAGCATTGGGAAAACCATCAGGGAAAACGGCGAGAAAAGGTTGGGGAAAACGTAGGGAAAATCGTTGGGAAAAGGTCGGGGAAAATGTCAGGAAAACGCAGGGAAAATGTCGGGAAAACCATCGGGGAAACGTCGGGAAAACGTCGGGAAAACCATCAGGGAAAACATCGAGAAAAGGTTGGGGAAAACGTTGGGAAAAACGTTGGGAAAAGGTCGGGGGAAATGTCAGGAAAATGCAGGGAAAATGTCGGGAAAAATATCGGGGAAAACGGCGGGAAAAATGTTGGGAAAATGTGGGGAAAACATCGGGAAAATATTGGGAAAAATGTGGGGAAAACGTCAGGAAAGCATCGGGAAAACCATCAGGGAAAACGTTGGGAAAAAGTTGGGGAAAATGCTGGGAAAATGCAGGGAAAATGTCAGGAAAACCGTTGGGAAAAACATTGGGGAAACGTTGGGAAAAACATCGGGAAAATGATGGGAAAACGTCAGGAAAACGCAGGGAAAACGTGGGGAAAACATTGGGAAAAGGTTGGGGAAAACATCGGGAAAAACGTTGAGAAAAGGTTGGGGAAAACGTCGGGAAAAACGTCGAGAAAAAGTAGGAAAAACATCAGGAAAAGGTTGGGGAAAATGTTGGGAGAACGCAGGGAAAATGTCAGGAAAAACACTGGGGAAAATGTTGGGGAAATGTTGGGAAAACGTTGGGAAAATGTTGGGAAAATGTCAGGGAAAATGATCGGGAAAATGATGGGAAAATGTGGGGGAAACATTGGGAAAATGTCAGGAAAACGTCGGAAAAACGTTGGGAAAAGGTTGGGAAAACGTGGGGGAAATGTCAGAAAAACGTCAGGAAAACGTCGGGAAAACATTGGGTAAAATGTCGGGAAAAACGTGGGGAAAATGTCAGGAAAACATCAGGGAAACGTCGGAAAAATGTTGGGAAAACGTTGGGAAAAGGTCGGGAAAACGTCAGGGAAAACGTCAGGAAAAACATTGGGGAAAATGTCAGCTGGGATCCAAATCAGGAATAGCTCAGGATTTGGGATCCAAATTGTGGAAACCTAGGATTTGGGATCCAAGTTGGGGAATCTTAGGTGGAAAAACTCTGGGATCCAAACTGGGGAATCCCAGAATTTAGGATCCAAACTGGGGAATCCCAGAGTTTGGGATGCAAACTGGGGAATCCCAGAATTTAGGATCCAAACTGGGGAATCTCAGGCACAGAAACGCTGGGATATCCCAAGATTTGGGATCCAAGTTGGGTCATGCCAGGATTTGGGATCCAGACTGGGGAATCCCAGGATTTGGGATCCCGGGAGAAGACACCGACCTTTTGGGAACGTCGATGCTGCTGGACACGGATCTCTCGGGAATGCCGGGAGCGGGCAGGGACGGGGCTTGGAGCGGGTCCTGCGCCCTCCAGCATGCCGGGAATCCTGGGATCTGCTCATCCAGGGAACTGAGGAACACCTGGAGAAGGTTTGGGACGGCCTTTGGGGTCACCGCTGATCCCACGGGATCCTCCTTTGGGATCGGGGATGATCCTGTCCTGCAGGGCTCGGATTTCACATTCCCAAGTCGATCCCGAAAAATCTGCTCTGCCCACCCCCAGCAATCCCAAATCCAGGGATTTCCTGAGCGTTGGGATTTCCACCCCCAGCAATTCCCAGACTGGACAACCCCAGGAATTCCAGGAATTCCCAGCCCCAAGATCCAAGGGGAATGGCACATTCCCAGATTTTTGGGGTGTGCCCATGAATTTTTCTGGAACTCGCTGATCCCATGGGATCCTCGTTTAGGATCAACCTTGATCCTGTCCTTAGATTTCGGATTCCTATGGGAATCTTAATCCCAACCCAACCCATCCCAAAAAAATCTGCTCTCCCCACCCCCAGCAATCCCAAATCCAAGGATTTCCTGGGATTCTGGACACTTCCCCCCTGGATCTGGGTGTTCCCAAAGTGATCCAAGCGGATAAAAGGATTAAAATCCCGATGGAAAAAGGATCCCACGCTCCAGGAAGGGGAAGGAGCTGCGCAAACCCCTCCTGCTCCATCCCAAATTCCCAAATTTCCTCGTGATGGGGAATTTTCCAGCCCTGTTCATGGAAAAGTCTCCCCCACCCACAGGGGAAAATCCCTCGGTGGAATTGTCACCCCCGGGATCCCATCCCGGCCGGTGCCACGGCGGGATCGGGATCCGGGGATCGAGGATTTTCCATGGATCTCAAGGATCCAGAATCTCACACTGGAATGGGGGAGACTGAATTCCCTTGGGATTGGGAGACTGAATTCCTTCAGGATTGGAACTGGGGGATTTGATTCCTTTGGGATTGGAATGTGGAAAATTTTATTCCCTCGGGATTGGAATTGGGAGACTGCATTCCCTTGGGATTGGGATATTGAATTCGCTTGGGATTGGAATGTGGGAACTTTAATTCCTTTGGGATCGGGATGTGGGAACTTTAATTCCTTCGGGATCGGGATTTGGAGATGGAATTCCCTTGGGATTGAGAGGTTTGATTCCCTCAGGATTGGAATGCGGGGGATTAAATTTCCTTGGGATTGAAATGTGGGAACTTTAATTCCTTTGGGATCGGGATGTGGGAACTTTAATTCCTTCGGGATCGGGATTTGGAGATGGAATTCCCTTGGGATTGAGAGGTTTGATTCCCTCGGGATTGGAATGTGGGGGATTAAATTCCCTTGGGATTGAAATGCGGGAACTTTAATTCCTTTGGGATTGGAATGTGGGAACTTTAATTCCTTTGGGATTGGGATTTGGGAACTTTAATTCCTTCAGGATTTGGATGTGGGGGATTTGAATCCTTTGGGATTGGAACTGGAAGATTTGATCCCCACGGGATTGGAATGTGGGGGATTTGATTCCCTTGGGATTGGAATGTGGGGGATTTGAATCCTTTGGGATTGGATCTGGGAGGTTTGATTCCCACGGAATTGGAATGTGGGAAATTTGATTCCCTTGGGATTGGAACTGGGAGACTGAATTCCCTTGGGATTGGAATGTGGGGGATCTGATTCCCTCGGGATTTGAATTGGGGGATTTGATTCCTTTAGGATTGGAATGTGGAAACTTTGATTCCTTCGGGAGTGGAACGTGGGAGATCTGATTCCCTCAGCACTGGAATTGGGAGACTGAACTCCTTTGGGATTGGAATGTGGGAGATGGAATTCCTTTGGGATTGGGAGCTTGAATTCCCTCAAGACTGGAACGTGGGGGATTTGATTCCCTTGGGATTGGAATGTGGGAACTGTAACTCCTTTGGGATTGGGAGATTTGATTCCCTCGGGACTAGAATGTGGGAAATTTGATTCCCTTGGGATTGGGAGACTGAATTCCCTTTAATTCCTTGGTTGAAATGTGGGAACTTTAATTCCTTCGGGATTGGAATGTGGGGGATTTGATTCCCTCAGGATTGGAATGCAGGAACTTTAATTCCTTTGGGATTGGAACTGGGAGATTGAATTCCCTTGGGATTGGAATGTGGAAACTGTAACTCCTTTGGGATTGGGAGATTGAATTCCCTTGGGATTGGAATGTGGGAACTTTAGTTCCTTTGGGATTGGGAGATTTGATTCCCTCGGGACTAGAATGTGGGAAATTTGATTCCCTTGGGATTGGAACTGGGAGACTGAATTCCCTTGGGATTGGAATGTGGGAGATTTGACTCCCTTGGGATTGACATCGGGGGATTTGATTCCCTTGGGATTGCAACGCGAGAACTTTAATTCCTTTGGGATTGAAATGTGTGGGATTTGATTCCCTCTGGATTGGGATTGGGAGACTAAATTCCTTTGGGATTGGAATGTGGGAAATTCAATTCCTTTGGGATTGGGATGGGAAGCCAGGAGCAGCTCCTGGAAGGGAATCCCACTGGATGTTCCCAAACCATCCTCAGCAGGACTGAAGCCCTCAGGACACGCTTTGGACTCTTTTTTCCGGGAAAAAAAAAAAAACCAAAACACTTTTCCATGGAATTTGGGATTCCTCCAAAGGAAATGGATTTTGGGATTCCACCAAAAACCCCCAGGTCCCTGCAGATTTAGGAAAATCCCTGGAATATTTCTCCCACCGTGCCCCCAGGAGGTACCTGCTGATCGTGGAGCTGCCGGAGGCTTCCGGGATTCAGGAATCTGGGACTGGGGGATCCGGGATCGGGGGATCCGGGATTGAGGAATCCAGGATTTGGGAATCCGGGATTGGGGGATCTGGCTTTGGAGGATCCAGGATTTGGGAATCCGGGATTGAGGGATCCAGGATTGGGGGATCTGTGATCGGGGGATCCGGGATTGGGGAATCCGGGATTGAAGGATCCGGGATTGGGGGATCCAGGACTGGGAAATCCGGGATTGAGGGATCTGGGATTGGGGGATCCGGGATTGGGAGATCTGGGATTGGGGGATCCAGGATTTGGGAATCCGGGATTTGGGAATCCAGCTTTGGGGGATCCCAGATTGGGGAATCCGGCACTGGTGCATCCAGGATTGGGGGATCCAGGATTAGGGAATCGAGCACTGGGGGATCCGGGATTTGGAGATCTGGGATTGGGGAATCCAGGACTGGGAGATCCGGGATTCAGGAATCCAGCACCAGGGGATCCAGGATTCAGGAATCCAACAGCGGGAGATCCGGGATTGGGCGATCCAGCACCAGGAGATCCGGGATTTGGGAATCTGGCTTTGGGGGATCCGGGATTTGGGCATCCAGCAGCGGCGGATCCGGGATTCGGGAATCCAGCAGCGGCGGATCCGGGCGTGCCGTCCCGGGGCGGGGAAGGTTCCGGAAGGCGGGCGCCCAGCAGGGAGCGCTTCCCCAGGCGGCGCGAAAGCGCGGCGGCCATGGCTGCGGACAGACGGACAGACGGACACGGGCTGGCACCCGGGGCTGGCACCGGGCACGGGGGAGATGGACGGACACGGGGGTGGCACTGGGACAGGCAGACGGACACGGGGGGGGCACTGGGACAGACAGACGGACACGGCGGGGGGGGGGCTGGGGCAGACAGACGGACACGGGGGGGGCACTGGGACAGACAGACGGACACGGCGGGGGGGGGGCTGGGGCAGACAGACGGACACGGGGGGGGCACTGGGACAGACAGACGGACACGGCGGGGGGGGGGCTGGGGCAGACAGACGGACACGGGGGGGGCACTGGGACAGACAGACGGACACGGCGGGGGGGGGGCTGGGGCAGACAGACGGACACGGGGGGGGCACTGGGACAGACAGACGGACACGGCGGGGGGGGGGCTGGGGCAGACAGACGGACACGGGGGGGGCACTGGGACAGACAGACGGACACGGCGGGGGGGGGGCTGGGGCAGACAGACGGACACGGGGGGGGCACTGGGACAGACAGACGGACACGGCGGGGGGGGGGCTGGGGCAGACAGACGGACACGGGGGGGGCACTGGGACAGACAGACGGACACGGCGGGGGGGGGGCTGGGGCAGACAGACGGACACGGGGGTGGCACTGGGACAGACTGACGGACACGGGGGTAGCACTGGGGACAGACAGACAGACGTGAGGGTGGCATTGGGGACAGACAGACGGACACGTGGGTGGTGGTGGGACAGACAGACAGAGGTGGGGGTGGCACTGGGGACAGACAGACGGACACGGCGGGGGTGGTGCTGGGACAGACAGACGGACACGGGGGTGGCACTGGGGACAGACAGACGGACACGGGTGTGGCACTGGGACAGACAGACGGACACGTGGGTGGTGGTGGGACAGACAGACAGAGGTGGGGGTGGCACTGGGGACAGACAGATGGACACGGGGGTGGCGGTGGGGCAGACAGATGGACACGGGGGTGGCATTGGGGACAGACAGACAGACACAGGGGGTGGCGGTGGGGCAGACAGATGGACACGGGGGTGGCATTGGGGACAGACAGACAGACACAGGAGTGGCATTGGGGACAGACAGATGGACACGGGGGTGGCATCCAGAGCTGGCACTGGGGACAGAAACTCTGGGATATCCCAGGATTTAGGATGGAAATCGGGGAATTCCAGGGTTCGGGATCCAACCCAGGCAATCCCAGCCACAGAAACTCTGGGATATCCCAGGATTTAGGATCGAAATCGGGGAATTCCAGGGTTTGGGATCCAACCCAGGCAATCCCAGGCATAGAAACTCTGAGATATCCCAGGATTTGGGGATCAAATCAGGGAATTCCAGGGTTTGGGATCCAAACCAGGGAATCCCAGCCACAGAAACTCCAGAATATCCCAGGGTTTGGGATCCAAATCGGGGAATTCCAGGGTTTGGGATCTAAATTGGGGAATCCCAGGCACAGAAACTCTGAGATATCCCAGGGTTTTGGGATCCAAATCAGGGAATTCCAGGGTTTGGGATCCAAGCCGGGCAATCCCAGGCATAGAAACTCTGGGATATCCCAGGGTTTTGGGATCCAAAGTGGGGAATTCCAGGATTTGGGATCTAAATTGGGGAATCCCAGCCACAGAAACCCTGGGATATCCCAGGGTTTGAGATCCAAAGTGGGGAATTCCATGGTTTGGGATCTAAATTGGGGAATCCCAGCCACAGAAACCCTGAGATATCCCAGGATTTGGGATCCACATCAGGGAATTCCAGGGTTTGGGATCCAAACAGGGAATCCCAGCCACAGAAACTCTGGGATATCCCAGGGTTTGGGATCCAAAGGGGGGAATTCCAGGGCTTGGGATCTAAATTGGGGAATCCCAGCCACAGAAACTCTGGGATATCCCAGGGTTTGGGATCCAAAGGGGGGAATTCCAGGGCTTGGGATCTAAATTGGGGAATCCCAGCCACAGAAACTCTGGGATATCCCAGGGTTTGGGATCCAAAGGGGGGAATTCCAGGGCTTGGGATCTAAATTGGGGAATCCCAGCCACAGAAACTCTGGGATATCCCAGGGTTTGGGATCCAAAGGGGGGAATTCCAGGGCTTGGGATCTAAATTGGGGAATCCCAGCCACAGAAACTCTGGGATATCCCAGGGTTTGGGATCCAAAGTGGGGAATTCCAGGGCTTGGGATCTAAATTGGGGAATCCCAGGCATGGAAGCTCTGAGATATCCCAGGATTTGGGGTTCAAATCAGGAAATGCCAGGGTTTGGGATCCAGGCCGGGCAATCCCAGGCATAGAAACTCTGGGATATCCCAGGGTTTGGGATCCAAAGGGGGGAATTCCAGGGCTTGGGATCTAGATTGGGGAATCCCAGGCATGGAAGCTCTGAGATCTCCCAGGATTTGGGGTTCAAATCAGGAAATGCCAGGGTTTGGGATCCAGGCCGGGCAATCCCAGGCATAGAAACTCTGGGATATCCCAGGGTTTGGGATCCAAAGGGGGGAATTCCAGGGCTTGGGATCTAGATTGGGGAATCCCAGGCATGGAAGCTCTGAGATCTCCCAGGATTTGGGGTTCAAATCAGGAAATGCCAGGGTTTGGGATCCAGGCCGGGCAATCCCAGGCATAGAAACTCTGGGATATCCCAGGGTTTGGGATCCAAAGGGGGGAATTCCAGGGCTTGGGATCTAAATTGGGGAATCCCAGCCACAGAAACTCTGGGATATCCCAGGGTTTGGGATCCAAACTGAGACATCCCAGGGTGTGGGATCCAAATTGGGAAATTCCAGGGTTTGGGATCCAAATCAGGGAATTCCAGGGTTTGGGATCCAAACCAGGGAATCTCAGGCACACAAACCCTGATATTTCCCAGGGTTTGGGATCCACATCAGGGAATTCCAGGGTTTGGGATCCAAGCCGGCCCCTTGGCCGCCGTCCAGCTCCGAAGCCGCTCCCCATTCCCTCGGGATTTCATTTTCCCTCCTTCCCTTTTTCCTTCCCTCTCCGGCCCCGGCAGCCAGAGGGGAGGAAAAAAGGGAAAACCCTGCCCCAAGCCAAATTCCCGGAGCTTCCAGAGGATTTTTGGACACTGGATCCCATCCCTGCCACGGCCGTGCCGAGAAATCCCCGCCCGATGTCCCAAAAATCCCAAAGCGCCCGGCTGTTCCCAATCCATCGGATCCCAAATTATTCCCGGCGTGGGTTTGGGACCGAGTTTTTCCCAAAAAAAAAAAACCCGTCAGCACCTCGCGGAGGTTTGGGAAAGGCGGGGTTGGAAAATGAGGAATGGTTGGTTTGGAGAGAGGGGAATGTCTTGATTCTCGTCCCGGGTGGTTTTTTGGGAATAAAAACCAAATTTTTGGCACTAATCCCTCTCTGGAGAATGCCAAAATCCCCTTTTTCCAGGATTTTATTTTTTTTTCCGGGAGAAATTCATCCTCACTCCCAACAATCAAAGTCCAGGCTGTGGCAGACCCCAAAGCGGAGAACAGATCCACTTTTCCCCTCACGCTTCCCAAAAAAACCCCAAAATAATCCCAAAAAATCCACGCCCCAGCGGCACACGTGACCGGGAAGCGAGGTCCCCGCCGGGAGCGGTTTGGGGAATTTGGGGTTTTTTTTAAAATAAAAAAAACCAAACACCCCCAAAACTGAACCGAACTCCCCGCGAGTCAAAGCTCCCAGAACAGGAGATTCCCAAAGTTTCCTCCTGGATTTTGCCCGCCAGGAAAAACTCCCCGAGTGACTTCGGGAGGGAAATTATTCCAGAGGGGAAACACTTTTGGAAGACCAAAATCAGGATTTTTTTGGGTTTTTTTTTTGTTTTTTTCTTGAGGAGCCGGCGAGGGCGGAGGAAGGAAAGGGAGAGGGGGAGCCAGGGCGGGATTCCTGGAGCCGTGAATTCCTGGATCCAGGAATTGCGCGTATTCCCGACCGCGGGGCACGTGGGGAAAGCGGAGGAGGAGGAGGAGGAGGAGGAGGCTCGGCCCGGGATGCCCGCGGGGCGAGGAGGGGCAGCCGGCAGGGGCTGCGGCCCCTCGTTCTCTTCTCCCCTCACTCTCCCCTCCTTCTCCTCCTGCTTCTCTTCCCGGTTCTCCCCCTCGTTCTCCCCTCACTCTCCCCTCGTTTCCCCCTCCTTCTCTTCCCTCTCTCTCCCCTCACTCTCCCCCTGCTCTCCCCTCGTTTTCCCCCTGCTTTTCCCCTCATTCTCCCCCGGTTCTCCCTCACTCATTCCTCTTTCCCCCCTCTCCCCTCGTTCTCTCCCCCTGCTTCTCCTCCCTGTTCTCCCCTTCATTTCCCCTCATTCTCCCCTCGCTCTCCCTTCGTTCTCCCGCTGTTTCTCCTCCCGGTTCTCCCCTCGTTTTCCCCCTGCTTTTCCCCTCACTCTCCCCTCGTTTTCCCCTCGTTTTCCCTCTGCTTTTCCCCTCTTTCTCCCCCGGCTCTCCCCCCCTTCTCCCCCTGCTTCTTCCCCCTTTTTCCCCCGGTTCTCCCCTCACTCTCCCCTCGTTTTCCCCCTGCTTTTCCCCTCACTCTCCCCTCGTTCTCCCTCTGCTTTTCCCCTCTTTCTCCCCCGGTTCTCCCCTCGTTTCCCCTCGCGGTTCTCCCGCCCAGCCGGCCCGGGGATGAGGCCCCGCTGTTTACACCCAGGGCTCTCGGGCCGCTTTTTTGTCGCTTCCTGGCTTGGTTTCAGCTTTACAAAGCTCGCGTTTAGCGCTGGTTTATGTTTGGGCCCTCCAGGCTTTTTGCCTGCGTGGGGCTGGGACTCCCCTCCACACCCATTTCCAAGGGATTGGGATCTTCCTGCACCCCATTCCCAAGGATCTGGGCTCCCTTTTAACCCCATTCCCAAGGATTTGGGCTCCCTTTTTACCCCATTCCCAAGGATTTGGGCTCCCCTTTACCCCATTCCCAAGGATTTGGGCTCCCCTTTACCCCATTCCCAAGGATTTGGGCTCCCCTTTACCCCATTCCCAAGGATTTGGGCTCCCTTTTTACCCCATTCCCAAGGATTTGGGCTCCCTTTTTACCCCATTCCCAAGGATTTGGGCTCCCTTTTTACCCCATTCCCAAGGATTTGGTCTCCCCTTTACCCCATTCCCAAGGATTTGGGCTCCCTTTTACCCCGTTCCCAAGGATTTGGGCTCCCCTTTATGCGGGACTGGGGGGACAAACAGCGGGACTGGGGAGGGAACAGAGAGCAGGCAGGGAATGCCCCGGGATGGGGGGGACACGGACACCGGGATAAGGGAACACGGACACCGGGATAAGGGAACACGGACACCGGGATAAGGGAACACCGGGGTCGGGCAGGGAATGCCCCGGGATAAGGGGACACGGACACCGGGCAGGGAATGCCCCGGGATAAGGGGACACGGACACCGGGCAGGGAATGCCCCGGGATAAGGGCACACGGACACCGGGCAGCCCCCCCGAGGATGCCCCGAGCCCGGAGCAGGACGCGGGGAAGGCGCTGCGCTCACCGGGCCCGGCAGAAGCGGCTGCCCCCCGGCCCGGCCCGGCCCGGCTCGGTCCCCGCTCACCTCGGGCTGTTTTGAAACGCTCCCGGTTCCCGGTTCCCGCCGGGCCGGGCGGGGCGGGGGCGGAGCCGCGGCCGGGCGGGAATCGCCGCTCCCGCGCGCGGGGTTTTTTTTAATTATTTTTTCCCCCTATTTTTTCTTTTTTTCCCTTTTCCCCCGCTCTCCGCCGCTCAGCCAGGAAGGGAAGGAGGAGGAAGAAGAAGGAGAATTAGGGGAGGAAGCCGAGGCCGGGCCACGCCGCGCCGCCACTCACCGCGGAGCCGCGCTCCGAGCCTCGCCTCGCCGCCGGCCGGGTTAAAGCTCCCGGGGCCGGGCTGCTGTAAACAACCTCTCCCCACATGCTCGGCCCCTTCCTGCGCATTGGCTCCGCCGCTGCCTCTCCGTGCAACGCCCCCGCCGCCCGGCCCCGGCCCCGGCCCCGGCCCCGGCCCCGGC